AAGAAGTGAGGACCAGAACTGCAGCTGTAGCCATTCATATCCATAAGTAATTTCAAGAGAAAACTTAGGGAAGCAGCCCTAGGATGATGCTGCCTACATTACGTATCCTCCTGCTGGCCAGCCTTCCCAGGACACACAAGAAGCCATACACAGCAGCCATAAACACATGGAGCTGACGGGTACCTGCCTCTGTTCAGCTGCTCTTATCATCTGGGGAAAGAAAGAAACCTGTGTGAGTGGATTAAAACCACTGTTGAGAAGAGGAATGAAGAAACCAATTTCTTGGGATCTGCTATTCTGATTAATTAGAGCACCATCCCAACAAGGGATAAAGGCTCCATTTTAAGGAGGCAATTACCAAACTCCAACACTTTTCAGGATACTTTCAAAATTAATTCTCATCCAAGAGAGCTGTATAAAAATAATTGTGCAACTGTGTTGCTTTGGCATGAAGAAAGGTAATTAATCTTTTACCTGAAGAGGTAAAAGAAAAGATATGTCTGCAAAACCTCTGGAGCTGAGGGGATGGATCTTTAGTTCTGGTACAGTTAAGCAATCTCTGCAAGAAGCATCTCCACTTCATAAAGACACTTCTGAAAAGCAGAAAGCTTTTTTTTTTTAATGTATCAGATAATAAATATTTTTAGAAGTTGTCTACATTTTTTAGAAGTCACTACATTTGTAAAAAAAAGTTCTTATTTAGAACTGACCAATTTGCAGAACAACCCAAAAACTTTGAATAAACACAAACCCCAACACTCAACAGCAATCCCATCCAGATCAGTTGGCCTCCAGCAAGTCTTGCTAGAAATTTCCTGAAAGAAATGAGGGAAAAGGCTATCCTGAAAAAGACTAGACGCCCTCCAGCATAATTTCCAGAAGGTTTTGTGTGTATGTGTGTGTGACGACAGCCAGAATGTAACTTGTTATGTGTGATGCATAATGAGATCACATTCAAAATGTTCTTGTATGATCGTGTGAAGACCATGCATCCATTTGAACAAAGTGGGGGACGAACAGATTGAGAGTAGCCTGAGGCAGAAGGACTTGCAGGTGCTGGTGGATAAGAGACTGGACATGAGCTGGCAACATGTGCTTGGCAGCCCAGAAAGCCAACTGTGTCCTGGCTGCATCCAAAGTAGTGTGGGCAGCAGGTTGAGGGACAGGATGCTGCCCCTCTACTCTGCTCTGGTGAGACCCCACCTCAAGTACTGCATCCAGCCCTGGGGTCCCCAGCACAGGAAGGACACTGACCTGCTGGAGCAAGCCCAGAGGAGGCCACCAAGTTGATGAGGGATGGAGCACCTCTGCTATGAGGAAAGGCTGAGGGAATTGGGATTGTTCAGCCTGGAAAAGAGAAGGCTTCAGGGTGACTCTCCTGCTTCCAGCCGGGACAGGGCTAATTTTTTGCAGTACCAGGAGGTGGCATGGCCAGGACAAGAAGATTATTTTACACCACCTCACCGTCATTGCTGGGACAGGGGAAAGGGACTCTCTTCTAGGGAGAATGGGTTCCTTCTGGTCAAGTAAGGGTGGCAGAGGGAGCCATCCAGTATTGTCTATTGTCAGGGTTTTTTCTTTGTCTTTTCTTGGACCCTGTCATTTAGTATCCTTGCTGTTACTGTTAGTTTTCTTATCTCATTGCTGTTTCCAGTAAATTGTTCTTATCTCAATCTGTGATCTTTGCCTTTTGCCAGCTCCAATTCTCCTCTCCATCCTGCCACTGCAGGGAAGGAGAGGGGGAGGGGGAAAGCAGGGGAGCACGAGAGACCAACAGGTGGTTTGGTGAGTCTTGGTGGGGACACTGAATTGGGGAGTATGATTCCTTAACCACAACAGTGACCTAACTGAGGCCTCCCAGTACCTGAAGGGAACTTACAGGAAAGATGGGGCAAGAGCATGTAGTGAAAGGACAAGAGGGAATGGGTTCAAATTGAAGGAGGGTTTAGATTAGATATTAGGAAAAAATTATTTACTGTAAGCATGGTGAGGCACTGGCACAAGTTGCCCAGAGAAGCTGTGGCTTCTCAATCGCTGGAAGTGTTCAAGGCTGGGTTGGATGGGGCTCTGAGCAACCTGGTCTAGTGGAAGGTGTCCCTGCCCATGGCAGGGGTTTGGAACTAGATGATCTTCAAGACCCCCTTCCAAAACAGACCATTCTATGATCCTGTGAGAGTTTGTTCAATAGACTTATCTCACATGGGCTGTGGAAGCCACTTAGTCGGGGTCTAACAGTGCACAGCCTGCTCTGGGACTAGTCATCCCTCCAGGCTCTTACTCTGCCATACTTGAAGTTAGCAGGTAATGAGATGAAAGGCATGAATGCTGCCTGCCAGCAGCACTGGCACTGGGAGACACCAACACAGTCATGAACTGTTGTATTTTAGTGACTTGGACCTGGGAGGGGTTTAGATGGAGGTGGCTGGGCAGACTGGGCTGTGGCTCAGAGCTGTACAGGAGAGGAACCCTGCAGAAAGCTGAAGGCACCTTCAGCTCCTGGGAAGGTGCTGGCTGCCTAATGGGGAGTAGGGGCACACAGAGGGAAGAAGATCAGTCCTACATCAGACAACTGCAGCTGTGTAAGAGCAGATTCCGTGGGAAGGCAGTCTCACAGCCCACCCATGGGGAAGTGACAGGGAATCATTGGCAAACTTGCATCCCAAATTGAAAAAATAATTAACCACCTAGCTGCTTTTAATTAAGATCTTCACTTATTCACCACTCCAGGATATGCAGATGTTTGGCTGCTGGGATGTATCAACACACCTGAGCACTGGAGGCAATTGTCTCTTGGCTTCATACCTCAGCAGGCAGCAGAGAGGGGCTCCCATCCTGTAAGACATGCATACCCCAGCTTATGGTATTGGCCATGTCTATGGATGGGAGACTTTCTTATCAATAATACCTCTGATACTGCCTTGGTGGAGATTTTCATATGCAAATTTCAGCATATCAAAGGTGTTTTGCTGTTCTGGCATCCTTGCATCAGCTAAGTGCCAAAGCAGCATGCAGCGTTTTACACTTATGTAAGGAGATAAAGTTTTTGCCTCAAGGATATGATGTTCCAAAGACAGAGATAACATGATGGGAAATGACAAGAAGCAGTGGAGAAGGGGGGATGGGGAAAAGAAAACAAAAGAGACAAATAGAGAAGAGAAAGGGCAGGGTACTGTCGTGGGAGGACAAGCCTCTGTTTTTCATTTCAGCATGTATGATGTTTTCCCTGGGTTATCTCTCTCTAGGATCTTTGAAGTTATTTTTCTTGATCATCCTCGTCTCATCCTTCACCTCCTCAGGACCATGTTTTCTGTACTCTGCATAATAGTCAGTGAGTCTCATACAGAGGATGATGCTACTCTCTGCAAATGCAACTGTTAGAATCTGGCCCCTCAAGAGTAAGAATCGCTCAGTGCAGGAAAAGATGAGATTAATGGCAGAAACTGCAGATGACTATAAACAAATTCATCCCTTCAGTTTATACCTCCTCTTCTTTCGTTTCTGTTACTCAGGCCTGTGAGATGCAGCACCTCTGATTAGAAGATATCTATCTAAATCAATGTCTTCAGCTTGAACTAATAACCCTGTCATCACCACAGCACCTGGCCTGTCTCTGACACCTTTCTGTTCATGAGAGACAAACACGCTTATTTTATAGCACACTTAAAAAAAATTCCCGAAAATTCATTTTGTTTGTCTTTCTCAGAAATGAGACCAGGTGGGTGTCCCCCCTTTCTGCCCTGCACTGCCTGCAATAATTGGTGGCTCTGGAAAATTTTCATTTGTTCTGCAGCCAAATCAAGTTATCTAGTATTGATAATTATAAAGCTTTAATAAAATTGTTGCTGAAATTCCTCTTCACACCTTGACATGGGCAGTTCTGTCTGGATTGCTTTTTGATTTAATTGTTCTTTACTAATTCAGGGATACCTGTGTTGTCAGGCCAATATTCTGCCCTCAGTGATGAAAGAAAAAAATGCTCTAAAATGAAATAGTCTATTAAAATATAGTCAACTAAAAGTTACAACTCCCAGAACAAAATAATAAAACCCTGAAAACTAGTGCTTTGATGGAAAGCCTGACATATTTCTGTTCATGAGGAACAAAACCACTTATTTTATAGCGCAGTTAAAAAAAAAATCCCTGCAAATTCATTTTGTTTGTCTTTATCAGAAACGAGACCTAGGAGGTAATAGTAACAGATTAAAATGTTCAGAAAAGCTTGATGTATTATTTTTAAATACATGTGTATGTTTGGTATGTTCCCCTGAGAGCTGCACTTTACATATTACAGTGCCTCAATGAAATTGTTTTCTGTAATTTAGAGCAGGATTTTCTGCCACAGACAGCTTACAGCATGTCAGAGTGACACAGTCATGACAATGTCATACGGAAACTTCAGCACTGTGCATCAAATCAAGCTCACAGCCTGTATTCAACAGGGTGGCATGGTCATCAGCTCAGAGCCACTACCACGTATCAGTGCAATAACAACAAGGCTTTGATTTGGAGTATATTATTAGCCCATTGTATTAACACCACAGTGCCAATACTATTCTCGCATACTCCTTCTTTATACGATGGACATTAACTGGAGCTTTTTTAATTCCCTTCAAAAAGGATGAATCCCATCTGTTGTTATGCTCTTAGACAAAGCGGCAAATGAAAGGCCAGCGCCAGAAATCCCCAGCCAGGTGCTCGGGCAACCTGTCATCTGGATGGTACCACGGGGCTCAGCTCGGGGCTCAGCACGGGGAATGCTCATCCCCTCACCGCTATATCACACAGAGAGTTCGGGAGGGTGCCGATGTAGGCGGGATTGGATGAGATGGGATGAGATGGGAGGGCTGCAGCCCTGTGGGGCCAGGAGCAGAGGGTGCAGACCGGGCTGTCTGCAGGGCTGTTCTCTGCACGGTGAAAAGGTGCTGGGGAGGAAAGAGGGAAGGATGATCGTCCCGTCCCGGGAGGGCGGGCCAGGCGCGACCCCCCCCCACTAACCTTACCTGCGCCGTGCGCCTTTGTTCCTCCGGCTGCCGCGACGGCAGCGCCCCGGCCGCCCGGCCGCCGGCCCCCGCGAGGGCATCCTCCCCCTCCTCCTCCTCCTCCTCCTCCTCCTCCTCTTCCTCCTCCTCTTGCTCCTGCGCCTCCCCGGCGGCGCGGCGGCGGGGGGGTCCCGGCGCGGCCCGGCGGCCCCGCAGTCCCCGCAGGACCAGGACCATCAGCGCGGCCGCGGCGGCCGCCAGGACCAGCGCCGGCCAGAGCAGCGCCAGCAGCCGCCCCGGCAGCTCCCCCGCGCCCAGCGCCAGCCGCGCCGCCGGCCCCAGCATGGCCGCGCCGCGCCCCGCACCGGGATGCTCCGCTCCGCTCCCAAAGTTGGTGCCGGAGCCGCGCTCTCCGCCGCCCGGAGCGGCACCAGTGCGGCTGCGGAGCCGCGCGGGCGGGGGGGACCGGCCGGCCGGGGCGGGGGATGCGGGGGGAGCCGGGGGGCGCGGACACGTCGGTGCTTACGGGAGCCTCGTCGCCAAGGGCTCGGCCGGGGGGGCGGGTGCGCGGTGCGGGAGGGCGGGAATGGGACTCCCCGGGCGCGTGTGAGGCTGGTCTGGGGGCAGGAAGGGGTTAATGCATCGAATAGATCTTCCCTATGGAAGTGGTACATGATGAAAGAAGAACGCGATGCGGTTCGAAGCAGCAGAGCTGCGGGCATCGGCAGTGGTTTGAGAGCAGATGTTTGACCGAGAATCGGCGTGTGCAGGGATGCTCGCAAGTGATGCTTTTCTGCAAATTTCCCCCAGTCTAGACAGAAGAGTTTTTAGAGATGTACTTGAGTTGTCAGGCACCGTGACAAACAAGTCGTTATCGAGCACCATCGCTGTGATGATGACAAGCACTGCCATGTAACGCAGCGCGTGATGCGCTCTCATCTCGGGCTGATCCTCAGGGAAATAGCAGTTTACCGCCGCCAGCAGAACGCTGAGCAGAGCGCCTGGAGCCACATCTTTGCTGCGCCCGGATAGGAAATTTCTCCACCCACCTGATGAATAAGTGCAGGTGGTGCTCTCAGAAAGTCTTTTTTTCAAAGTCACCGAGCTTCAGTGGCAAGTTGAGTTTTATCTTGGTTGATCTAGGGGGCCAACCTCCAAGCAATAAATAAGCAGTGAATAGCAGTGAACTGGAGTGAGCCCCTCATTCAGAAGTGTGTCTCAGTATGTTTGTGACTCACACCTGTCACAAGCTCAGTGACATTCACTAGGGGCTATTACTACAAAATAAGATAGTAAATAAAGTTTATTTAACTAGAACAGCATAAAAAGTTATGTTTGTAGTAAACCCAGCACAGAAAAGGGGCTGGTAGGGGAATGGCTTTCATCTGTCAAGGCTTTATTTCACCCAGCAGGGACTGCTCTCTCCTGAGCATGGATCCAAGTGCTGGAGCTCAAGCTCAAACACACGCCCATGGAAAAGATAGCAAAGTGGAAGGCTCATTATCCACCCTTCCATTGGATTACCAACTCTTCAGGGATGAAAGATTTATTATTCCCATGTCCTGGGCCTAATTCCAATACATCCTAAACAAGTCTTGGTCTTGAAAGCATCATAAGGTGTTAAAGCGCTCTAGAAATTTCCAGACAAAATACAGGAGAATTGTCAATGAAATGATGTGCTGAATGACTTTATGGGGAGAAGAAGGTTTTGGGAGGGAGGGAGAAACGCTTAATACGCAGAAGAGATCTGTGGGGATACAGTGGTACTTCAAACACTGTTGTTGGGGTGGGAAGCTTCTATTTAAACATAGATCCCACAAGTTATCATTTTCTGTGTCTCCTACTGCCTATCTTCTAAAATTCAGCACTGACTAATCTTGTGGTCTGAAACCTCAGGAATTTGAGTGGTTTTGTACCTAAGCCCTGATACTGATTTCTTATGAGAATATGTTTATCTTGTATCCATCTGGAACCCTGAGCTGGTAACTGCAGATGTCAGAGACAAGGGGACTTCTCCTGAAGTTAAAAGTGGCAATTTGCTGATTAGTTTAGATACTTGTCTTTTATTTTTTTCCCCTGTCTTTATTTCTCTGTTCGTAAAAGAAAGGTAAGTATCTTCAGGTCTGAGCGGTTAAAAAGTGTACAATCTATGCCTCAGATCACAAATAAATCCACTACTTTCAACTCATCTAAATTAAGTTGCTGTTCTTTTCCTGGGGAAACATAAGCTGAAAGACATTTCAGGAGTCAGCATTGCTTAATTGACTATGAGATTACTGCTTTGCAACATTCCTTTCTATTTCTTTTTTTCTTCAATAAAGGCAATTAGTGTGGCTGGCCTCTAATGGCATTTATTTTCAAAGATAAGCATCATCATATTAGACTTTTTTTCCTAGTATTATTACAGTCTTATTAAGTAGCATATCACACCATTGTTCTATGAAAATAGCACAAATTATTGTCGTGTAATGTTCTATGGAAAGCCTGAAATTTTACTGCAAGCCTGAGAAAATACTTTTCTATTTATGTGTGACATGAACTAATTGCAAATTTCGGATAGGAAGTTGTTCTCCATTCAGACTTAGACAGAAAATCCAATAATCAGGAGCTGGAATCACATATTTTTTGTAGATCAAAATGTGGTGGATGTTCACAAAATAATGCAGCTGCTAATGCCTGTTGAGTCCTGTTCAAACCTGTCTGCTTCTGCATGCACAGTTAGTCTTTCGGGGTGCTGAAATGATGAAAGTAGGCTTTGTCAAGTTTTCTGGAGAAAAATTCAGTCTTATTAATGTTTAAATATTTCACTAAAGCTGTTTGATTTTGACAAAACCATATGGCAACAGAAAAAAAAAAAAAACACAGCAAAACTTGGTTTGGACAGTTTTCTAGCTGAAATTAAAGCATAGTTTTTATTTCCATTTTCTATTGAATTGTTAAAAAATGAAATTTTCTAAAACAAGCAAGGAATGAAATGATTATTTTATTAACATTTCACAGAAATTATAATGTTGTGACCTGATGTATTAGCACTAGACTTAAGGATTCACCCAGAGAAGCCAAGAGAAATGCCCTACTCTGACGCTGCTCGTGTTTAATCAACAGCAACAGAAGTGACAGAAAAATTAGTGTTTTCAAACAAGTCAGAGATAGAGAGGGGAAGCTTTTAAACTGCCCCAGCAAAAACACCTTTTGAGAGGCACTGAGGGGAACACTTGGCAGTATTTAATACACTTCAATCCTTTAACCAGGAATTCAGCAAGCTGTATATAAAAGAAGGCAGGTGGGGTTTTGTTCCTAACAGCTGTTCAGAAAGCCTCGAATAAGGGCAGAGAACGAGCTGTGTGTCTTCCCTTCGGGAAGCCGTTGGTGCCGACCAGGTCGTTCAGAACAGACCCTTCTCATGAAGTCACAAGGCTTTGCTTTACTCTCTCTCAGACTATGGGGATTTGGGGCAACTGCATAGAAAACAGTGGGAATTTGCACCGGTTTAAGCGACACAGAGCAGGTCTCCTTTCGATAGCCAGTTGCTTAGCCCGGAGATGGGAGACTTTCCCTGTGAGCCCTGTGCCGACGCGGGCAGGAAGATGTTTGGACAACGCGGGCAGGAGGATATTTGGACGTGGCCGAGATCAAAGCTTAGATCTCTGTTTCAGTCATTTCTGGGCAATGAAACACTGAGCGAGGAGGTGTCCCCCAGCTGGCTCCTGTCGTGGGGCCCTTGCCGGCTGCGACCCTCCTGCTCTGCTGGAAGGAAACTCGTTTACAGGCTGAGATGGTCTCACAACCCACTCGCTTAAGGTCTTGCAGGGACATTTGCACCAAATCCTGAGGATCGTCTGCTGATGTGCAGGAAGTGTATTGATTACAAATTTGTGTAATTCACAAACTTTTCCCATTTTCCCTCCTATCTGAAGCCCTGATGCACTAGCATGGACGTGCACAAAGCTGATCAACTACTGAGCTTGCTTAGCCTGTCAATGAGGAAACTGAAGAAGGTGCTTGCTGCATGCCTGGCAGTAGCGTGACAATAACTAGTAATGAGAGAGGAGTGCTCCATCTGTTCAGACTATTCAGCTCTTTTGCACGGCTGCCCACGTGGCCAGGTATTTGCCATTAAATAAGATGATTAATTCCTTGACAAGTTGGTATCTGGCCTAGCAGTCCAGCATTTCCTTTCAGCATCTGTGGCTGCTTTGAGGAATGCAGCTTTATAGAATTTTACTAATTATCTAATAGCTTTTCAACCTCTTGTTTCAGTACAGGGAACTGCTGTTAATTAATTGCAGATCCTCGACATACCATTCTTAACTGATTCCCCTAGTAAATATGTTTAACACTTGCCTTGGTTTCCTGTACATGATTCATTCGGTTGGTAAGTGATCCATCTTTGTTTGCTGTCAAAGTCTTTGAGTTGGAAGAGGACTTTAATCATGTTACTTGGCTTTCCTGAATAGAGAGAAGAAATGGAGTCAAAAAAAGCACGCAATGGTAACGCAGTCAAAGAAAAACCATGGCCTGGGTTTCTTTCACCAACAAAAAAGTTGTGTAAGCTTCAATTTCCCTTTCATTTTCATAAAGAACATACTGGAAACATCTATTCAGCCAAAGACATGAAATTAAAACAAAGAAACAAAAACATCTTGAAAGGAGGAAAGGAGGCACTTTCCCAGCTTATGCATTAATTAAGACCAGTCAAAGAAAACAGCTTCAAAGGAAGGAGGAAGCCAGTGGTAAGCACGGCTGCAACTGCTTTTAATGGGCTATAGCAATGACATGCATGGCAGGCAGAGCCAGAGCAGACATTAATGCAGCACTGTCAGTTCAAAGGGGACAGAAAAAGTTTGAGGCAAAACTGAAGTTACTGAATAGTAAAATTGTTTCACTAGCAGATTTGTCAGCAACACTATGGGACAAAGGAACTTGTTTAGCAGAACACAATCATCTCGAGAACATAAACACTGCTGGTTTAAAGATAAAATCAAAGGCCTTGAGAGCAAAGCAGAAGACATAAAAGTATGTATAGTTGGCTTTCCTGAAGGCGAAGAGGTTTGCATCCCTGTCAAACCATTCAGAAAGGAGCTGTTAAGCGCCCCAGGTCACTCTTGCACTCTTTAGCACCCACTCTTCCCCTGGGTGGAAGCCTGTGCAAAGCTGCATGAATATACAGCAGCATTTTTAGGTTTTCTGCACATCTCATCAGCAGTGGTGTTTTGGGAGTCTGGCAGGAAAATTTATTCCCCTCCACCCCACAAAAGAAAAAGCTGAGTACAACCTACAACATACTATCATAAATATTTTATACAGTTTAAAAAATGGATTTGTTTAGCAGCAGAAGACAGGGC